GTCAGAGGCAATGAGATTGGCACAGGATAGAGCAGGGTTTAGGGCTGTTGTACATAGTGTCGCTATGAGTCGCAAACGACTCGACGGCACATAACAACAACAACAGCAATCCCTAGGAAAGCTTCAGTCCCATCTCCCCAAAAACACTCCAAAGGGATTTCTCTGGGCAGCCGTTTCTTATCTCCTGAACTTTTTCTCCTGAAGCTTAATATTGTCCTTTGTCTCTGGGTTAGTAAGTTATCAATGCCACTAACTCACACAGTTTGTATGTAGGTTGGGTCTCAAGTTAAGGGTGACCCAGCACACTGCATGGATGGATGATACAGAGCACAGCGAGGATGAACCTATTATGCACTCTTGATTTGGAACCAAGCTGACCATCCAGTGGGTTTTCAGAACCAGTAATCATGTGGGAAGACATTGCCCATCTTTCTCCTGCAGAGCAGCTGATGCATTTGAACTGCATGCCTCTGGATGGCAGGGCAGTTCCTTACCAGTAGGCCACAAGAGTTCTCTTTAGGTTAGTAGCCCAGTGCTTAGCTACCCCCCAGGCTCCGTAAGGTTCAAGCAATAGACATGTCATTCTCAACCTGTGCCTCCCTCCAGAAGCATGGATTAATGAAATCAGAGGGATCTGGGGTGACTTAAGTGGGTATCCAGTAGTCAGGCAGGAAAGGATCATTTGCCTTTTGCTTTAGTTTACTTCGTTGCTTTGGTTTACTTACTTGCTCTGCAGAGCCATTTAGTATTTAACAACTTGGCTCACCACTGTGGAGTCAGCTCAGAGCTAACCATCCAGCAGATTTTTCAGAGGCAGTAAACTACACAGGAGGAGACTGTTTCTCTCTCTCTCTCCCTTGGAGTAGCTGTTGAATTCAAACTGCCTGCCTTTGGTTTGGCATACAACTCCCTTATGTCTAGGTCACCAGAGCTCCTCCTTACCAATAATTGTTGGTTTTGTGTACTACGGAGTCAGAAATGACCCACAGCTTACCCTCCAACTGGTTTTCAGAGCCAATAAATGAACTAAAAAAGATTGCCCATCCTTTTCCCATGGGGATTTGGTGGATTTGAACCATACCTTTGAGATTGCAGAGCTGCTTACTACAAGAGCTCCCTCAATATTAATTAGGTAACACATAACAGTGTCTGTTTTTCTTAACAAAAGATGAAAAAACACAGTTTATGTGCTGCAGCTCTTCCGTGGATGCAGACAGAAAGGCCTATTCCAAGCACAGCTTCATAGTTCAGCCAAGTCTGGCCATGTCTGACGTGAGTGCTGTAACAGGCCTTGGACAAGGCTAATATTGGCTCCTCTGTGCTTTCAGACCTATTCCTGGCCACACAGGTCTCACCTCCCTTCTGTTGCTGGCTTCCTCATCAACACCTAGGTTTTACTTATGCCAGAAACCAGCAGGCTGACTCCTTTCTTTCAGAACACAGATCTCCACGTGTGACTTAAATCTGCCAGCAGTCGCTCCATCCTAAATGTGTGCATTTATGCTCCTTTGCTGTGACCTCAAGGTGTCTGCAGTCTCACACTGTTTGCAGCTTTGCAGGGGCTCCTGATAAGAGTCCAGAAATAACAGGATATTTAGTTGAACCACTAATTTCTCCATGTAGAGTCCCCAAGTGACATAAGCAGTGAAGTGCTCAGCTATGAACTGAAAGGTTGGAAAATCCCATATGCTCAGAGGCCCCTGGAAAGAAAGACCTGTTTTTCTGAAAAATCTGTCATTTAAACCCTGTGAGACACAGTTCTTTATTGACTGGGGGGGGGGGGGGGTTAGGGAATCATGTTAAGTTGGGATCGAATTCATGGCAGGTTTTAAATAAAAACTATTTCAATGGGGTGGTTTAACTCTCCACAAAGAATCAATAATAACAATTAGGAAATAGATACCCTCATTTCATCCCAGTGTGCTGGAAATATCCACTTCCTGCTCTGCATCCTCTCCATGTTGCTGCACCCCACCCTTTCCTCTGTAGTAAGATATCTCTGTGGTGTATGAAATCACTAAATTTCACCCTGTATCATCCAGTGACAAGGCAAAAACTGAGGAAAAGGAGAAAAAGGAAGACAAGATAAAGGACAACTTGCTCAAACAGGAGGAGTAAGTACAGAGAGAAGTTGCTTTTAAGACAGGACTCTGTGGCCATGGCCTGGACATGGGGTCATGTTCTAACCCAACTTATCAGGCTGTGTAATCAATCCTGACATTGGAGAGATGATTAGAGCTGAAGAACAGCAATGAGAGCAGGGATCACGTAGGGCTCCTGCTTGACAGAACAATTCTGCCTTGGCTCTGGGATCCTGGAGGAGTCTGACAGGGAAGGCGGGCTTTCTGCTGTCTCAGGTGAGCAGTCCTGACTCTGTGAACCTGCCCATTGACCCAAGTGAGCATCACTTTTATGCACAAATGTGGCCACCCACACTACATTTAGGGTAAGCTTCATGAAGACTTGGGTCAAGTATCCACAATACTAATCCAACACCAATGGTGATGAAAATGCTATTGTCAGCAAGCAGTTAATCTCACACGTGCTGAGGCCAGGCAATGGCAGAAAGGTACTTGGTGTTGCTTTCAACATGTGGAACATGAGTGGAGGTGGTGGGGATACATATCACTACTGCTATGGGCTGTTGAGTTGGAACAGATTCATAGCTGACCCTTCAGTGGTTTTCAGAGACTGTAAATTGTCTGGGAGGTGACTGTCCATCATTCATCTTTGGAATAAGGGTCTTGGGTTGGCAGTGTTACTCCTTACCCATGAGGCCACCAGAGTTCCCTGGGGACACATGGATCAGACAAAAAGAAGCATCTCAAGTGCAGGCTGTAAACTCTAATTCTCAAATAATCTTAAAAATAGAGACAAAAGCATTGTAAGGCATTCACTCCAGGTGTCTCTGAGACTCTTAGTGGCACGACAAGGCTGCTCTTTCCTTCCAATCACCCCGAGGACACGGACATTGTTACAGGGTACCTGAGCACGCTATCACCATGATTTTGTAGTCAACATGGCACACAGTTGGCTTCCAAGTGAGGCTGAGCTGGAGTGGAAGGGCCTCCATGCTCTTATGGCCCATGCCCTACCTTTTAGCCCATCTCTCAGTATCCACACTCCCTGTGGACCCTCTGTGACAGGGAAGACCCTGTTAAGATAGCCCCTCTTAAACATCATCCTGTGCTTTCCTCCAAAGTCTCAACACTAATCCAGGTCTTTAAAACCCTCAGGAGCAGTGGTCTCTCAGCACCTTCTACATCTGCCTGTGTCTTTTCAGAAAGAAGGAGGCAACAGTGATAGACCCCTCTAGCAACATGTACTACCACTGGCTGACTGCCATTGCCCTGCCCGTTTTCTACAACTGGTGCTTGCTGGTCTGCAGGTAGGGCCTGGAGCTGCAGGGGTGGAGGGTGCCCAGGAGACAGAGTTCTGAGTTGCACTCTCACCACCATCCACTTCCATACCCCTCAGCTTTGCCAGCTATAAAATAAGGGGGCTCTTACAGAGGACCGGTAGGTGCCCTGAAGTATTGGTCAGGCGCTGTCCTTGAGATCAACAGTGAAGGTTCTAGCACTCTGGGACATCCTTAGGCAAATTGTAGAAAGTAGACTCAGGTGCAGGCTGCAGCTCTTCTGAGGGAAGTTGGGGAGTGCTTTGGATTGTGAAGCAGGCCAGAGCCAGCTTATAGGGTGGGCATGCTTGAGCAGGCTGTGACTTCTCTGAGGACAAGTCAGGGCCTTGGGAGAGTCCCCAGCAAGTTCCTAGTAAACAGTAAAGGTGAGAATAAGCAGGGAGCTTTGGAGCATTTCTGAGCAATCTTGGATGAAAAGGTGCAGAAAGAGTGCTGCTTTTTTTGAGGGTATGCGGGTGTTTGATACTTCCCTGTGCTGGGGCAGGCAGTTTGGGGCAGATCTGAGCAATGCTGGGGGAAGAATGCAGCGGTCTTTTGTGGGTGAGTGGGGAGATGAGGGTGCTCCTCTCCAAACTGCGGAGCACTGAGACAACATGTTAGTCTTTAGAGAGTAGCTGTGGGATCGTGATGGTTGGAGCATTCTGGAGCAGGCCTGCCAGACTGAGATATTTGAGTGAGCTGGTGCATTTCTGAGGCTCAGAGGGAGCTTTGGGGTATTTTTTTATCAAGCTTGTAGGACAAGGCTTCTTCAGTGAGCTGTTGCTGTCCTGAGAGAAGCAAGGGCATGGGCTTTCCTAAATTAGGTGAGGAGTATCTGGGTCATGTCAGTTCCTAGTGAATGTGGCTGCTAACTAAAAAATTGGAGGTTGGCGCTTAACCAGAAGGTACCATGGAGAAAAGCCCTGGTGACATACTCCTACAAGTGTTAAGCAACCAGTTCTGCTCATATAGCTGGAGTCATCAGGAGTAAAAAATCAACTTCAGGGCAAGTATAGAAGTTTTGGTTTTACATAAAAAAACCGAACAAACCTAAACACAAAAAAAGCCAAAAAGCAAAAAACCCAAGAAAGTTACATAGTAACATAAGGGTAAGGAGGGGTTTAGGGAACTTCCCCACCTGCCTGCAGAGCTAAGACTCAGGGTTACCACTGCTCTTCTCAGTAAGAAGGTGGATGGGAGGACTAATCAGTGTCCCTGAGCCAGCCTGAAGGACAGTCTGCACTTCTGTGGGAACTCAGGGCATCAAGGCACAGATGCAGGGAGAGGCAGGCATTTTTTCTGAGTATACGCTGTGCCTTTCCTGGGGCTTTCCTGGGGGAGCATACGAGACAGTACCAGAGGAAAGGATAGGCTTTGGTGTTCCTGCATGAGCTCATGGGTCAGTGAGAGAGGGCCAAACTACTCCTCTGTATGGAAGCCGTGGAGGTGAGGGCCTGACTGCTGCATGTTGGCAATGCTAAGGAGACCTGCTGCGGTCTGTCATGAGGGGGAAAGGATGCAGTATCTGTGCAAACCTATAGGAAATGCCCTCTTCTACGCTCTGAGAGCAAGCAGTGCCAGGTGAGGGGCTAGGTGGGGCTAGGACAGAAATGCCTGGATTTGATGGTTTTCTTCTGAGGGTGGACGAGGACTTCTATGTATTCCTTGGCAAGTCACAGGGGAGGGGAATGGGGCCAAGGAGCTGCTGTCTAGAGGCCAACAGTGAGGCTTGGGGATACCAATGTGGGCTCATGAAGAAAAGTGGGCAGAGATATTGAAAAGACAGAAATTATTCACTGGCTGGCGCAGTTGTTGATGTCTCAGAAATTCTCACATTTTTGTTGGAATTTGAATCTAGAAAGTCAACCCATTTCCCGTCTTCACCACTGAGCCCCAAGGTCCCGTACCTTCCTACTGAGGAACAATAGTGCTTCTCTTGAGTAGTCCTAGTTCTTCTTGGTGAGATCTCTGTGATTTGAGAAAGCAAAGATCCTTTGGGCTAGGCCTCCTCCTGAGCAGCCTGTGGTGGTGGTACCTGGAGAAAGACCCCTCTCAGGAGCAGTCAGTGAACGGCTGCTGCCCTGCCAGGCTCCACACAGACCCTCCTCCCACCCACCTTAGGGCCTGTTTTGATGAGCTTCAGTCTGAACATCTGATGCTGTGGCTGGTCCTGGACTACTCAGCAGATGTCCTCTATGGCCTGGATCTGCTGGTGCGAGCCCGCACAGGTGAGCGGGGCCGGGGTGGGACATGGCAGGGCCTGGACAAGACTGCCTAAAATTTATCAGGAGGGTGGACTAGTGGGGAAAAGGGCATGCTCAAGAGGACTGAAAACCTCAGATTGGACAGGACCTACATTTGACCATGAGGAAGCAAGAGGTTTGGGGAGCCTCCCACTGTGAAAGAGGTGGGGCCACTGCCAGCCCCTTTAGCAACCTTGTGACTTTGTGACCTTGGGAGAGTCAAGCTGCCTCTCTGAGTCTCCTCTGTATGGCCTGTTATATAGTCCCGGTGATAAGTCAGCTCCCCGCACTCTCTCCTGACCCTCCATCTGTGACCATAGAACACAGGAGGGAGCCAGTCAGACTTGGAATTTCCATATATCTAGGAAGCTGATGGATACAGCATGTGTTGCTCTGGGGCTTTTAGAAAAATTTTAATATTGCAATAAAACCTGTAAGGAATACCTCGGAATGCCAGTGGTTAAGGAATTTAACCACTATCTTATCTATACGTCTGGTGGTTCAGATCTACCCAGAGCATCTGTAACAGAGGCCTCACTATTTATCTGCTTCCAGAAGGAAAAAAAAACAAACCCTAAAACAAGCAAACAAAAAAAAACCCCAAAAGACAAAACAGCCTTCTAGAACCCTGGGAAGCAAGTTCATACATGTGGTTGTCATAAGCCAGAATCAATGTGACAGCACTTGTTTAAAAATCAGAAATGCACAAAACCAAATTCATTGTCCTCAAGTTAGGAATAATTCATAGCTGACCATCCAGTGGGTTCCCTGGGAAGTAAATCACAAGGGAGGAGACTGCCCATCACTCTCCCATGGAGCTGCGGGTGGATTTGAACTGCCAGAGACGCACAGCCTTGGGGTAGGCAGCACAACTCCCTACAGACTATGCCACCAGAGCTCCCTAGAATCAAAACGAGGGCCACGTCAGGGACTTACTTCAGAGCATCTCTGGTTGCCCATGGAGCAAAACTCCAACTCAGTCTCCAGCCACTTACCCTGGCCTGCCTTTTTCTAAACTACACACAGACATTACCTAAGTTGGCAGAGTCCTTTTTTGTCACTTACAAGCTTTTGCACTAAACATGACACAGTATTTGGCAATACAAGCACCACCACGTGCTATTATGCAACAAGCCTTTGTGTGACTTTGTGGTGTGTGAAGCCTTTTCAAGCAAAATTTGGTTTTTTCTTATGACGGTTACATAAGACAAGAAATGCAGGCATGCTAGTCTCCATTTTACTGATTTAAAAACCAAGGTCCAAAGGCACTTCATGACTTGCCCAGAGTCCATAGTCAGTGAGTGACCCCATCCTTTTGCATGTGGCTGCCTAGCATGGAAATTCTGTGGAGATCTCGAGGACACAGTGTGAGACCTGCATGGTAGGCCAAGCCAGCCCTAGTGGTTTGCCACTCCCTGGTCAGATAAGGTGACACAGATTTACAGGATAAGTGACCAGGGAGTCGACTGTCCCTGGTCTCAAGCTGTAGCAGGAGAAGTCACTCTCACCAAGACCTTGACCACAACTCATCTTATGCCTGGGTGCTATGTTTGACAACCTAAGAATCAGGAGGAAGATGGAGGGGGCATGGTGGATACAAGGTAATAGACATAAGGTAAGAGGGCAGAGATTCATGCCCTAAAGAAAAAACTCTCAGAACGGGGAGACATTGAATTCAGCTCCCTGGAAGTGTTAATTAACATGTTTAACAACGATTATAGCAAGAATAAGGGGCTGTGTGACAACAAATTTGATTGTTGTTCTTCAGGGAAGAGACATCTACAGCCTCTGTCTAGCATCCAAAAGTGTGACCTTGGACCAGGATCATTGGCATCACCTGGGAACTAGTTAGAAATGCCCAGGACCCTCCATTGACTGGAGGTCCAACAATCTGTGGTTCACAGAGGCCTCGGGACAGCTCTGATAAGCACCAAAATTTAAAAACCTTTTGTGTATTCTTGTCTGAAACATGAGAAGTTTTTCATGTTTGCAGAAATATTTATTTTTAAAGACAGGGATAATTTCACCAGTCATTTGATTTCATACTGATTTCATTAATAATACACTGAATGCTCAGTCTACCTTCAGGCTTGTCAGTCTCTCTAGAGGTAGATCCTAGGCTCCGCCTATATCTAAAGGACCTTGATGATTCCAATGAGCCCTGGGGATGCAATGGCTAAGTGCTTGGCTGCTAATGAAAGATTGGTGGTTAAAACGCCACCCCCCGCAAGGGGCTCTGTGGGAGGGAGACTGAGATTACACAGAGATTACAGCCTAGAAAACTCTGTTGGGACAGTTCTAATCACATGTGGTCACCATGTGTAAAAATTGACAATATGAGGCCTAACAACAATTACATCTAACAACATGGGGCCCTAATATGCAAGTAACTCTTGAAAAGCACTGTGATCCAGGGCCATGTATTTGTTGGGATTTGTCTCTTAGTAGTTAGTGAAATTATTTGATAGATCAGGATGTGCATTTAAACTTGTAATTACTAGTATTTTCAGTTGTATGCAAAAACAATCAAAACATTTCTGCAACCCTCCATGTGCCACTCACTCAGTTCCGATGTTGTTGTTGTTGTTGTTGTTGTTGGGTGCCATCGAACTGACTACCACTCATGGTGACCCTATGATCAGAGCTAAACCTTGCCCTTTCCTGTACCACCTTCACTATCTGCTATGGTCATGCCCATTTTAACAGTCACTGTGTCAATTCACCTCATTGATGTGGTGGGGTTCTTTATTTTTCTGGCTCTCCTTTTGTAATATGATGATGACCTTTTCCAATGACTGACACCTCCTAACAACATGCGCAAAGTATGTGAGGCCAGGTTTATCACCCTAACCTCTAAGGAGTACCCTGGTTGCACTTGCTCTAAGACCTGTTTGTTCTTTTGGCAGACCATGGGATGTTCAGTACTCTTCTCCAACATCACAACTCAAAGGCATCAATTCTCCTGTCATCCTTCATTGTCCAAATTTCAGATGCATAGAAAATAACTGAAAAGGCCATGGGTTGGATCAGATGCACTTTAGAGTCTTTGCTCTTTAGCACTTTGGAGTTCTCAACAGCAGATGTGTACCAATGCAATATAGGGTTTTTGTTTGTTTCTTTGTTTGTTTTTTAATTTCTTGATTGTTATGCTGGCTGTTGATTGTGGATCCAAGCAAAATTAAATTCTTAATAACTTCAATCTCATCTCTATCTATCATGATGTTGCCTAATGACCGAATGGTGAAGATTTTTGTTTTCTTGATGTTGAGATGTAATCTATATTGAAGACTGTCATTTTGGATTTTCTACAGCAAATAATTTAAGCCCTTTACTTTCATCAAGAAAGGCTGTGTTGGCAAACATCAATAAATTTAAAAAAACATAGAAATAATACAAAGCATCTTTTCAGACCATAATGCTACAAAATTAGAAATTAATAACAAGAAGATAAAGGAGGGGGAAAAAACAACATATATTTGGAAGATGAACAACACCTTGCTTGAACATGACTAGGTACTAGAAGAAATAAAAAATGAAATAAAGTCGCAGCGCGAGGGCTTCGCAGCGCGAGGGCGAGGCCGCCAGACTGGGGAACGCCGGGGGAACGCAGGCCGC